TGTTATTATCCTTTTGATTTCCTTTGGTTCCATTGTGACATCACCCATGTGATTTCTAATGTGTGTTATTTGTGTCTTCTGTCTCTTTTGTTAGGTTTGCCACTGGTCTGTCTATTTTATTAATTCTTTCAAAGAATTAGCTTCTTGTCTTGATTGTTTCTATAGTTTTTCTGTTTTCTATCTCATATATTTCTGCTCTGATCTTTATTATTTCTTTTTTTTTTGGTGACTGTGGCTTCCCTCTGTTGGTCTGTTTCTAATTGTTGTAGATGCCGTGTTAATGTGTTAATTTTAGTTAAATCCGCTTGGCCCGCGGATTTAAAGGCACACGATTTCCTGCCTCCGCTCCAAATTCCACAGGCTATAAACCTTCAAGCCTTTAAACTATTCCTATCTCTGTGGGTCCGAATTTTGGAGCTCTGTCTTGCCTCTTTTTTGCCTGGAATTCTGCGTTATTTTTGACTGCGACCTTCACTATGCCTTCACCCTAGCCACCAGCAAGCCTTGCCCTTCCTGCTTCTTCAGTAAGTCTGTAATGTCCTTACTCTGTTTCAGGCCCTTCTGAGTTTTGCTACTTGTTGAAATGCTGTGGAGTGGATTATGACTCACAGAAACCCAGTATAGAGTTTCCAATAGCAGCTGTTGAGCTAGAACCACAGTTCCTGCAATTCAAAAGGCTTTGCAGTCTGATGGATTAAACCACAGCAGGGGTGCTTTGTTACTGGTGTTAAGCTGCTACTCAGTTTGGGCTGGCCCAAACCTTGATGCTTTGATGGGCGGGCCTAAGGCTAGGAGGCTGGGCAGAAGGCTGGCCTAGGCCGAAGAAGTGGGGCATGGGCTTGGTGCTTGTAGGCAGATGGGGTCTGTTTTTGATGCTGTCTAAAATGCCTCTCTTTGTCTCCCTGTGTCTTGAGCCCCCCAATTTGTCCTATATACACACCGGTAATGCCTAATATGGCAATGAGGACCCCCCTGGGATGGACTATGTTGGTTCCTGTGGCCCTGCTAGTTCTCTGAAAGTGTCCGCCCTTTGAATGGGTCTGCTCAAGCCCTGCTAAATTCTGCAGTGGGCGGATCCGTCCCCGGATAGAAGCCCGGAGTAGGTGGGTGGAAGTTCAAAATGCTGTAACTCCTCAATAGTTTGATCCTGTGCTGCCCGGTCAGGGAAGCACCGGAAGTTCCCCTCAATCATTTTTATGTGTACAATTCAATGACATTGATTACATATACTCACTATCTTGTACAACTATTACCACTATTTGTTTCTAAAGTTTTTCGTCACTCTTAACAAAAACTCAAGAACCCCTAAACAATATTTTCCTATTTTCTCTTTCTACCGAATCCTGGTACCCACATGGTCTCTCTGCGATTGCCTATTCTAATTATTTTATATAAATGGAATCATACACTATTTGTACTTTTGTGTCTGGTTTATTTCAGTCAACAAAATGTTTTCAACATTCATGTCACATCATGTCTCAGAAGTTAAATTTTTCTTTAATTTTCCATTGTATGGAGTCCTGGTCTAACACTGTGAGATAAATACTGGGCTGTAGTCCTGCTGTGGCGCTGTGGGCTAATGCGTCAGACTGCAAAGCCATTTGAACTGCAAGGTCAGTGGTTCAAGCTCACCAGTTGCTCCTTGGAAACCCTATACAGGACCACTATGGGTTGGAAACGACTCAACAGCACTTAACAACAACAACCACAAGATCCCCAGTTCAACCCACCAGTCCTTCCTTGGAAATTCTCTCCAGGGTCACTATGGGTCAGAATCGACTCAACGGCATTTAGCAAACAAAAAACAAAATGGATATACCACATTTTATTTATTCATTCATCTCTTTATAAGCACTTGTGTTGTTTACATCTTTTGGCTATTGTGAATAATGATACAATGAAATCAGTCATGCAAGTTTCTGTTTTGAGTCCCTGCTCTCAGTTTCTTTAGGTAGAATTTCACAGAGTAGATTTGCTTGGTGATATGCTTGAACCCACAATCAGCTCTCATGGATGCAGCAGCCAGGAAGTCAAATCATGTAATGCCTTAGGCAACTTTTCTGCACAAGACCTCTTTAAAGTATTCAAGACTAAAGATATCACTTTGAGTAATAAGGTGTCTCAAGACATGGTATTTTCAAGCTGCCAACCTCAACGTCAGCAGTTCGAAACTACCAGTGGTTCCACGGGAGAAATAGGCGTTCTGCTCCCATAAAGATTTACAGCCTTGGAAACCCTGTGCAGGGTCACTATGAGTCGGAACCGACTCCATGGTACTTAACAACAACAACACAATAACAATATATGCATGTGAAAATTGGACAGTGAATAAGGAAGCCCACAGAAATATGATGCATATGAGTTACGGTGTTGGAGAAGAAATATTAAAAGTACCATGAACTGCTAGAAAAACAAACAAATCTGTGTTGGAAGAATTAGAACCAGAATGTTCCTTAGAAGCCAGGATGATGAAACGTTGTGTCTCATACATTGGGCATGGTATCAGGAGGGACCAGTCCCTGGAGAAGGACATCATCCTTGATAAAGTGGAGGGTCAGTGGGAAAGAGGAAGACAACCAACAAGATGGATTGACACAGTGGCAGCAGCAGTGGGCTCAAGCGTAACAGCAGTTGTTAAGATGGTGCAGGACTGGGCAATGTTTTGTTCTGGTGTGCCTAGGGGCACTATGAGTCAGACCCGATTCAATGGCACCTAAAAACAACAATAGTAGTTCTGTGTTTAACTTTTGGAATAACTGCCAAACTTTTTCACATCAGCTATCGTTGTTGTGGTTGAGTGCTGTTAAGTTGGTTCCAACTTATCGTGACCTTGTATAGGGTTTCCAAGGAGCAACTGGTGAGTTTGACCTGCCAGCCTTGTGGTTCAAACTGACCTTGAGGTGGCACTTATTCTACAGTGCCTACCAACAATGAATGAGGGTTCCAGTTTCTTCACATCCTTGGCCATATTTGTTGTTGCTAACCACAAGGTCAGCTGTTTGAAGCCATCATCCACTTCGTGGGAGAGGGATGAGGCTTTCTGCTCCCGTGAAGACTTACAGCCTCAGAAACCCTATGCCTGGTCCCTATGAGTCAGTGATTTAGTGACACATAGCAGCAGCAATAGCAGTAGTAGGGTGAAGGGGGGTATCTTATGGTGATCTAATTTATATTTCTCTATGATTAATGTTGAGCATCTTTTCATGTGCTTATTGGTCATTTGTATATCTTTTTTTTTTGTTTTTGTTTTTAATGTTTTATTGTGAATTATATGATAGTTTACATGGGAGAACTTTAGTTTTACATTCATTCCATCGTATATCATCTCACTGCCATGGTTCCAATCCCCTGCATGCATCATCAACCACCCAAAGGGTATATCCCAGAAACCCGCTCCCTACACTTCCCCCTCCTCCCCCAAGTTTTCGGCCCACAGTCCCTTTCCCTCTCTGGGTCCAAGGTCCCCAGTCGCTTCATCACTCCACGTCATCATCTCTGCCTCCATCTCAGGCATCTCTGTTTCTCTGGGTAGGGTCCCACTCTCAGCTCTTCTCCGTTGATGGTCCCAGAGGCCTCCGCTCATATCCTGGAGAATCAATCACTCCCTTCCTTGTTACAAAACTTCTACCTTTGCATTTCCAACCCTCATAATCCGTCCTGATAAGCATTATTCACTACAGTATCACGAGTTACCCATCTGTATCTCCTTTCATCAGATCCGCCCAGACAGATTGAATAGTACCTTCTGGAGATTCTGCCTTCTGCCATGCTCCCTAGCACCAGGTTCCCTCTTGAAAGCTTGTAAGCCAGTCACTTCATGCCTTTGTAGGTATATCTTTTTAAGATGGCACTTAACAAAAGGAATTATTCAATTCCTTTGTCCAGTGTTTGGGTTTTTTATCTTTCTGCTGTTGAATTGTAGGAGTTCTTCAAATACTCTGCTCCCTGATATTTCTAAAACGAAAAATCTTATACTCACTTTGTTCTTTATTTGCAGTTTTCACATTAACTTAGGTATAAAACTAGATGAATTTTATTGTAATTATTCTCATTGTTATTGCTCTTCATTTTCCTGTTTTTACCAGAATAAAACTTACTGATAAGTAGTTTCTAATAAGATTGGTATGAATTTCTCAGGTAGGATTTGAGGATGATGTCTCTTGGGAATATAATTGCTTTCTTATTCTGTGACTTGCTACCACTTTCCAGGTATGTGGAATAATAGACAGTTAGAAGGGGTGTGTGCCAACAGCAGAAGACACTTGAAAGTTTTTCATTGTGAATTTTAAGTTGAAGTTAATGATTACCTGGATTACAGTATAAAAAGTGGATGTCTTACTGTAGTCAGCTAGAGACGGAAATTCAAAAGAATGGAAGCGTCTGTGTAAAAATGTTTTAAGGGGAAAAACATCTTCTTTTTATGATTTGTCCTGCTCTAGGAAAACACCACCAAGCAAGTGAAACTCAGAATGTGATTGCATCAGACAAAGCAGAAGTACCAGTTGTCCATGAGCATGAGCACAGCCATGATCACACCCAGCTGCATGCCTACATCGGTGTTTCCCTTGTACTGGGCTTCGTTTTCATGTTGCTGGTGGACCAGATTGGTAGCTCCCGTGTACATGCTGCTGATGGTGAGTGACTCTGAGGCTTTTTGGGCTGTATAATCAATATGCAGTTTGTTGTTGTTAAGTGCCATCGAGTCGATTCCTACCCATAGGGTTTTTGAGGAGCAGCTGGTGGGTTTGAACCACCAACTTTGCAGTTAGCAGTGCTTATCCCACAGTGCCATACCAGGACATCAGGACTTGTAGTTTAGGAGGTCACAAATGATCAAATAATTTTTATCACTAGCCTTATTTTAGGCTTAAAACTTATCTTCAGGTTCCAGTGAACATTTTTAGTTAGAGGTGCTTATGAGTTGTAGCATGTAACACAAGGAAGTGTTAATTGGGTCATTACTGTAGTTTTTGTAAAAATTGTCAGATCTGTGAACAGAGGTTCTTAACCTGTTTTTGTGCCATTGAGCCCCGGCAGTCCAAAGTCTCTGGACCATTTATCAAATCAATGTTTTTTAAATGCATGAAACATTGTACAGAGATTACATGAAAAATATTACATTGTAATATAGTTATCAAGGCATTAAAATGCATATGTAATGTAGTAATGTATGTTGTTATAAATCAGTGTGTTACATAGTAAGACTACACTTAAATCATAAGTAAGTTAAAGTTAACTTTTATATTCTAAAACATCAGTATGACAGTTATGGACTCCTGGTGTGGCATTATAGGATCAGCACTGGATTGCAAACCACAAGGTCAGTAGTTCAAATCTACCAGCTGCTCCTTGGAAACCCTATATAGGGTCGCTATGAGTCAGAACCAACTTAATGGCACTTAGCAACAACAAGTAACAATTATTGTTGCTTCACTTGATTGAAAACATTAAACTACAAGGTAGTCATTTACAAGACAGTGCCAAGTAAGACATCCAGCTGATTTTGAGTTTTTGTTTTAATGGTTACCATTGTAGAAAATCCTAATTCACGGAGATATTTTCTTTCAAATGGACTTATACACATTCACAGCTTTTAAAATTTAACTTCAGTCATAGTAACTTTTTTATCTTAAGATCATTTAATTTATCTTTGTTCTGGGTCAGGGGAAAAGATTCTGGTTCATAGTTCAATTTTGATGTCATCATGATAGAATACAAATATCTCTTTTCAAGAATGTTGGCAGAGAATATTGTACAGAGAAAATCCTAGAAAGCAGCGTGCATGTCTTGGTCCTGGGAGTGAGGTCATCGGACTCACGCTATTTGCTGGCTGAGTGATTGTTAGGGGCAGAATTGCCAGATGATTGCATGGCTCCATTGGCATAAGTGTCTGCACACAGGAAGGTTGCCATCATGCAATGTAGCAGCAATTCTTAATTTAAAGAAGTCATGAGTGAAATTAAATTTTAAGACATCTACAACAGTTGTAAAGTTGGATGAAATTATCTGGTTTATCCTGGTAATAAATTATACGTTTGTGTAAATTAGTATAAGGAACCCTGATGTTGCAATAGTTAAGCGCTAGGCTGCTAACAAACAGGTTGGCATTTCAAACCCACCAGTCCTTCCACAAGGGAACAGACCTGGTGATCTGCTCCCATAAAGATTACAGCCTTGAAAACCCTATGGGACAGGGCAGTTCCACTCTGTCATACAGGATGGCTGTGAGTTGGAATCACCTGACAACACACAACAGTAGTTTGTTGTGTACATTCATAGTGGAAAGAAATGTTACATTTCAGTTAAGGACTATAAAAATGAAAATGCATTACCCCCCATGTTCTACTCTGTGGACCCCAGGTTAAGAATCTTAGGTCTACAAAAAAAAAAAAAATCTATAGACTTAAAAACTGGGTACAGGTCATGAACAGACACTTTAACAAGGAAAACATTCAGGCAGCCAACAAACATATGAAGAAATATGTTCACAATAATTAGTCATTGTTGTTAAGTGTGGTTGTTATGTGTGTCATCGTGGTCTTTGTCCTCCTCCTCCTCTTTCTCTTCGTGGGGTTGCTTTTGCAGCCACCCTGTATAGGGTTTCCAAGGAGCAGCTGATGAGTTAAAACCAACCTTTCAGTCCAGTGCTTTATTTCACAGCGTCACACCAAGACTCCTTTATAGAGATGCAAATCAGAACAAGGTATCATCTCACACCAGCAAAGTTAAAAAATGCAGCCTACAACAAATTCTGGCAAAGGTGTGGAGAGACTGGCACCCTCCCCCCTAACCCCCCTCCACATTGCTGGTAGGACTGCGAAATGGTTGAACCACTCTGGAAGATGGTATGGCACTTCCTCAGAAAGTCGGAACTACAATATCTTATGACCCAACAATCCCTCTACTTGGTATAGATCTGAAAGAAATACGAACCAGGACACAAGTAGATCTATGTACACTGATGTTCATCACAGTACTATTTACAATAGCAAAAAGATGGAGACAGCCTAAATGCCCATCAATGGAAGAATGGATCAACAAACTTTGGTACATACACACAATGGAATACTTTGCAATGTTTAAAGAATAATGATGTATCTGTGAAACACCTCATAACATGGATAAACCTGAGTGAAATTAGTCAATCACAAAAGGACAAATATTGTATGAGACCATTATTGTAAAAGCCTAAGAAAAGGTTTTCATATTTTTTTAAAATCTGTAGAAAAATAGCAAAAGAGATGGACAGATTATTTAGAGAAAGATATAAAAATGCCCCTTTAAACATATGAAAAGTTATTTGTTTTACATAAAATAGGAGAACTGCACTGTGATATTATTTCTCACCTATCAGATAACTAAAAATGCAAAAGCTTGACAGTACATGCCATTGACAAAACTGTGGTGAAACAGGTACTTAGATATTGTTAAAGGGAATGAGAATGGTAATCTAACAAATATTAGATATTTGACATGTTCAAAATTAGTATCAGTATGCTTTCTACTTTCAGGGAAACTGGATAGCTGCTATCACACCAAACTTCATGCAGGTAACAACTATAAATTCTGGACAAAATTTTAAAACCCACTACCTAAGGACACTAAATGAAGCCCTGGTGTAGCTCTGTGGATTAATGTACTAGGCTGCAAGGTCAGTCTGAACTGCAAGGTTGACAGTTCAAGCTCACCAGCCGCTCCTCAGAAACCCTATACAGGGTCGCTATGAGTCGTAATGGACCTGATGGCACTTAACAACAACAAGGACACTCAGGAGCCCTGGCAGTGTAGTGGGTTACTCATTGGGCTGCTACCTCAAGGTCAGTGGCTTGAGTTCATCCGTTGCTCTATGGGAGACAGATGAGGCTTTTTGTTCCCATAGAACTTTTCAATCTTGAAAACCCTATACAGAGTCGCTGTGAGGCAGAACCAACTCCACAGTATGCAGCAGCAGCAAGAGCAAAAGCAGGCAGATCTGGAGGGGAACTGATGCTTAAACAAAATATGTAATAGTGCAGTATTAAGAGACCTGGTAGCTTAATTAATGGATTATGTGCTGAATTGCTAACCGCAGGGTCAGTTGCTCCTCAGGAGAAATGAGGCTTTCTGCTCCTGTAAAGATCTACAGGAAACCACATACAGAGTCCCTGTGAGTCAGAACTGGCTCGGTGGCACACAGCCAGCAGCAGCATCACAAAGCAGCAGGATGAGTTTCGTATTTCTACTACTTTTAGCAGTCATTGTCCTGTGGAGCTGCTAAAATTAACATAGAAAACTCTGAGTCTTTCTAACCTGAGGAGCCCAAGGAACTGAGTTCAAGACAGTTGCAGCTACTAGAAAGTGTGGAAGAATCCTAGAAAAGAGAAAGCCAGAGAAATGCAGCCCCAGATTATTTTATATAAATCTGCCCAAGTCTCTAATGCAGACAGGCTCCAGACAGCTTTGCTAAAGATAAAGAAGCTGAACTGAGATTGGAGCAGCTGCCCAAAAGATAGAGTTTATGGTATGACACAAACCAAGTTACTTAAGACAAACAATGAAAAAAAAAAGATCAACCCTCTTTGAACGAATGTAATAGACCCAGAGTATCCACAGCCTAACAGTCACAGTATCCTGGATATAATTCAAATTAATGCCATCAGTGAGCCACAATGCATCGTATGCCTCTGGGTGTGATCCCAAGAACCATCTCCTATGTAGCAGTCTTACCGACAAAGTAGCATCTTAAGAAAATATTAGGCAAACCCAGAGTAATGCCAACCAAACCCACTGCCATCAAGTCGATTCCAACTCATAGCAACCCTACCACACAGAATAGAACTCTGTAGGATTTTACCGAATGTAAATCTTTATGGGAGCAGCCATGAGGAAGGATCATTTTATCGTAAGACATACACACCAAAAAAAAACAAGATGAGGGGATGTGTTTTTTTTAAATGTCAGTGTTATAAAAGACAAAGCAGAGGGAAATGTACCAGGTTAAAAGTGATTGAAGAGCCAGACATTAGCAGTACGCAACCCTGGACTGGATCCTGCTCTATTGTGCTTAAGTGCTGTCTAGTAGATTTTTGTCCTATATGACAGAGAAGAACTTTCTCATAGGGTTTTCTAGACTGTATTCCTTATGGAAGCAGATCACCAGGTCCTTTTCCCCCATAGAGTCACTGGTGGGTTTGAGCTGAGGATTTTGGGGACTCTGTCTTGGAGAGGGAAAATGCTTTGAAGACCATTCTGGGGCAATTGACAAAATTAGAACATGCAAGATAGATTAGAAAGAAAGCCTCATGTTAAGTTTATTAATACTGTGTGATAACAATGTAAGAGAATATTTTTTTAAGAAACGTACACTGAAGAATCTAGGAGTATTTTCATGTATGCAGCTTATTCTCAAGTGGTTTCAGAAAAAACCTGTGTGCATATGTGTTAACTATTTGAAGTTTCAAATTGTTTCTAATGAAAAGATTAAAAAAACAAACATGGGATGAAATGGAAAATAAAACAGCAAAAAATATCCTGGGTTTATAGACATTTTGAAACTCATTGTTTTGGCGCGTCTGCCTGTATTACGGGGCTGGACGTCCAATTTTGCAAAATCATATAAAGAAAACCTCACTGTCGCTGAAATGAGTACAGATTG